AGCGCTTTTCACGTTGGGAGGACGTCCCAAAGCGCTTCACAGAACACACTGTAAAGTGAATTGACTGTATATTTGTGGGCGAACGTGGCAGCCAATTGCGCACAGCAATGTCCCACAAACAGTCGTGGATTGAAAATGACCAATTTATTATTGTTTTGGGTTTTGGAGGGATTATTATTAGGCTCTGTGTGGAGTAAGGAAACTTGCCCAAGGTTTCGCCCTCTGCCTGGAATTGAACACAGGTCTCTCGCTTGCAAAGCGAGTGCTCTAACCACTGAGCTACAGGACAAACATGAGCAAATATGTTATTCAGAAGTGTATATTTATAAATATCTATGTGGTAAATTTCACTGCAGCTCAGTTAAAGGATACTTGTCTAGTCTGCCCCATGCAATCTTTTTGTCTTTTATAAGTCATGTGTAAACTGTGCCTGAGGCCATTTGGTTTACACGGGTGCCGTTAATGATGTAATTAACAACCACTGAACAACCAATCATGCATTTAGTACCCAATAAAAGCAATAATCCTAGCATTTGGTCTAGGTCTAGCATCTTTCATGTCAGAAGAATGTATCAAAGCACTACAAAGGATGTAGTGTAGAGTGGAGTGACTATACTTGTGGGGAAGGTGGCAGTCAATTTGCACACAGCAATGGACCACAAACAGCCATGAAATGAATGATCAGTTTTACATGAAGGATTATTCACCAGGACACAGAGAGAAGCTCCCTTCCCTTTTCGATTAGTGCCATAGGATCTTTAACGTCCACTTGAACAAGCCAACGGGACTTCAGTTTAATTTCTCATCTGAAAGATGGCATCTCCAGCAATGCAGTGACAGTCTCGATTATATGAGTGCCAAGTGCCAATGTGGGGCTTGAACCTACAATCATCTGACTCCGAGGTGAGAGTCCTACCAACTGAGCCAAGCACATCATTCTAAATGCAGGAATTCTGTCAAAGGTCCATTTGGCTCAATAATCTGCTTTGCCATTTAAATAAGTGGGTCTCAGGAGGAATATGTTTATTTCCTGTCCTCTCCTGAATCTTTTAACTCTTTTCCTTCAAGGGATATGATCCTATTAGTGGCTGACACCCTCCGGGACCTCACTCAGGTACTCATTATTTATGAATGTAACTTCATAGTAAATAACAATGGGTTGTTTGGGGGCATTACAGATCAGACCAAACCTGTCCACACCTGACATCCTCAACACCCACACCTTCCAGCAGGGTCTATGCAACAGGAGTAGGCGCCCAGACTGAATTTCCTCTCAGGGACACTAAAGCTACTTTGCCCTTAATCATTCCTTAATCACTGCTGTGCGCAATTGGCTGCCGCATTTCACCCACAAAATATACAGTCAATTTACTTTACAGTATTTTTTGTGAAGCGCTTTGAGACGTCTCGAAGACGTCAAAAAAGCGCTATATCAAGTGCAAGGATTATTATTATCATGCCTAATTTAAGAACAACTAACTCAGCACAGACCATGTTCAAAGCTGAGGCTTTCTGGTTTGTATGACCCGGGTCTCACCATGATGTCTCTGTAGCCACAAAGCCATTGATGGAGGAATATTTGTTGGCGTTACACATAGCACCTTTCAGCCACTAATGGGTTTTCTCTCATTGTAACTGTGGAACATTGCCAGACTCCGCCACTGCCTCACCCCTCAGGCTGCCGAAACCCTCACTCACGCATTCGTCACCTCAAGGCTTGATTACGGGAACTCGCTCCTCATCGGCCTTCCCAACTCTTCCCTTCACAAGCTGCAGATCATCCAAAACTCTGCAGTTCATGTACTCTCGCACACTAGGCTCCACGACCCCATCACTCCCACCCTCGCCCGACTCCACTGGCTCCCCATTCCCCAGAGGATCGAGTTCAAGATCCTCGTCCTCACCTTTAAGGCAATCCATGGTCTTGCCCCCTCCTACTTCTCTGACCTTTTGATTCCCTACCAACCTGTCCGCTCCCTCCGTTCATCAGGCTCCAGCCTGCTCTATGTCTCCCGCCCGAACCCACCCTACCATTGGTGGCCGGGCTTTCAGCCTCTCTGCCCCCACAATCTGGAACTCCATCCCGCATTCCCTTCACCTCGCTTCCTCCCTCACATCCTTCAAGGCCGGTCTCAAGACCCTTCTCTTCGACCGTGCCTTTGGTCTCCCTCCCACTTCTCTGCCTTCCCTCACCCCTACACCACCCCTCCTCCATGCTCGGGCCCCGACACCTGACTGTTCAGCGCTTTGGGATATCCTCCCAATGTGAAAGGCGCTCTATAAATGTAATTTTGTTGTTGTTGTTGTATGACCAAAATCAATATGTAGCTATAACTGAATTCTCTATCAATGATTTGACATAGTGACTGATGAATCAACTGACACCCCTAGATCTCTTTCAGTTTCCCTTCTGACAAGTTCTATACTATATGTAGTTGTACCTTGCATTTATCTTCATTTGTCAGTTATCAGTCTATGAGCATACCATATCAAGCTCATTTTATAGGACTGATAATCTAACCACAAAGATTGTCTGCGACAACAAAGTCTCTCTGCTTCATTGCTTTCAACCAATTCTGAATCCACGTGTGTGTTATGTCTTCAATGAAGTTTGAAAATCCCTGAACATTTACTGTCCCTTAGCTGAAGCTGTATTGTTTGCTTAAACATGACTGATAACAGAACAGCAAATCACACAAGATTGAGGGAAGTTTATAGCTTTCATGTTATAAACTTTATTATCTCAATTTAAAAAGTAAAATGGCAGTAATTTTCCATTCAAAGGTTTTAGTTACAAAGGTGATCTTTAACTAAAGTACTGAAAGTGCACATAAAAGTTAAGTGTGTAGCTCAGTCCCTACATACTGCCATTGCGAGGTTAACTGCTGTAAACTTAATCCACTCTCTGCTTACATTTGGCAGGTTACATCACGTGTTTGACATCTGACACCAAAGCGATTGCAAAAGACAAAAGACGGAATGATGGCTTAAAGTCAAGATAGCATCTGAGCAATTAGTGAACAGAAGGAAGCTATTCAGCAGCCTGATCTTTTTTTAAGTTAAAAAATGAGACATTGGAGGGAGGGAGGTGGAGGGAAAGCTCCAGAAAGTGGGAGCAAAGTGGTTGAAAGCTTACCTGTCAAAGGTGAGGCAGACCGGCTGAGGAGCATGAAGCAGGCCAAAGTAAAATATTAAAATTAGAGGGTTTAAAAGATACACATTAATTGAACACTTAGCGTGTCAATGATGACATTTATTGATCTAAACGCAAACAAGAATTATATCCATCAGCATTGTTCTCCTGTTGTGATACACAGGAACGTGTGAGACATTGACCAGAGATCCACAAGCCAACCATCCCTGACCTTTGACTATCAAAACCACCTTTGGAGTCAGATTTTAACCAAAGTCGAAAAAAAAATCACGTCTTTAAATGTTAATAAAAAATGGACTAGAAATAGGGAGAAGAAAATTGTTAAATTTCACTTCACGACTGTGAAATAATTATCCTTATATTTAGTATAGTACCAAATTGAAAGCCGCTATATAAATACAATTTTTTTTTGTTGCCTCAGTGCTTCACTGGATATACTGTACTTTAAAGTAGAGTGACTGTATGTTTTGTGAGAGCCAATATGAACACAGCAACGTGTCCTACAAATGGCTCTGAAGAAAGGTACTATGGAAGTATTCTTCTTATTGTAACAAGTGGATACCCAGGCTGTGAGATGGAATTTCTTTGCATCCAGTTTCATTACGTTTACCAATTTCAGGTATTTCATAGGTTGGGTACAAGTAAATTTTTCTTCATCAAAACATAGTGATTTGCTATAACTCATTCTAGAACCCACTGCCCCATTGGCCAGAACTTCCATCCATGACCATCCATCACCTCTTAGCATTTTGTGTGGAATTATGGATATTTTTCTGGATTCCTACTAGATAGGAAGTGCAGTTAGAGTGGAAAATATTTGTCTTGAGGTCTCCTCAATAAGCCACTTCCAACACGATTGGGAGGACTGTTGTGCAGACATTGAACGCTGTCATTTGTCAGTCTGTATCTCAATGGTCGCCAGATGCTCCCAAACAGACATGCGAAGTGATAGAGAGTGATTGGTGGAGAATAGTTTTGTGGATATGGGTAAGGAGTAGTATGTATATGGGGCAACAGTTTTGTGGTGGTCATCCAATCATTTAAGCATGTGTGTGTGTGTGGAGTGGGGGGTAATTCAATAGGTGTGCGTGGGGGCGTAATTCACAAATTGTGTGTAGGGCGGATTCAGTAGGTTTGTTGGCGGAGGGGATGATTCAATGATTGTGTGTATGTGTGGAGGGGGGATTCAGTAATTGTGTTTATGTGTGTAGGGATAAATCAGTAATTATGTGTGGGGGTGGGGGTGAGCAATTGTGTTTATATGTGTGTGTGTGTGGGGGGGTGTGATTCAGTAGGGGGGAGTGTATGTGTGTGATTGTGTTGGGGGGGTCCTGTCACATAGCAGGTTTTGCTGCTGACCTTGATGTTGTATGAAGAAATAACAGAGACAACCTACACAAATAACTGTGCACAATTGGTTTCAAGGGCATGGTGCATGGTACTCTGTGTGCGCGGAGTTGGGGGGAGGAGGGGTGGACTCTGTAAGTCCAACTACACTGAGATCATACACACCTGCATGTTTTACTTTTACTGTCACTGTCAATGCGAAACATTAAAAACAGTCTCTTAACATTTCTAAAAAGCAATATGTGAGAGGGTTTCATTTGCAAATGAAACTGTGTATGAACCAGAGACTTATTGCAGTGATTCAGTGATGCCATCAATCAGATGACAGTTTTACTAATAGCCTTGTCGATATTTCTGCGAGCAACAGGTCACCTTTCCTTCCCTCTCTCTCGCTCTCTCCCCCCCCCCCCCCATCTCCAGCTCACCGATTTGGTTATTCAAACAGCTTTTCAATGCAGCTTTGCCGGTGCATAAAGAGTGAGCGGACTGGAGGCTACTCAGTGTGGTGGGAGGAGTTGCTGTGTTGTCAGCAGAGCTGAGAGGCAGAGCCTGGCTGGCATCTGGCTCTCACTTTGATCAGAGGGTTTATTGCAAACGGTGGCAACTCTGGAACAGCTGGAGCTCCTGCTGTTTGGTTAAACCTTGCCAGTGTTTTGAAACTTTTTTTTATCTCCTTTCTCTTTCCTAGCCCTGAGTTGGAGCTGAGCGAGTTAGCAGCAGCATGGACAGCCCGGGCTTTGACAACCTGGACGCCGCTGGATTCCTTGAAACCTGGCAACGCTTTGATGCTGATGGTAATGAAATCTATTGCATCTTATCATATGAAGTTAAGGAGAGCTTCTCCGCCAGCTCCAATGGTAAACTACAAAGCAGGGTAGGCTCTTGTGGAAGAGTGAGGTAGACGCAAACTAAGTTTTATTAAATTTTTAATTTACTTGTTTCAGGTTCAATCTGTTGCTCTTTTGTAAATTAGAATTTTAATCTCCTCCTGCTCTTGCTGCATGTGGAAACTCTTTGTGTGTGTATATGTGTGTGTGTACTGAATAATGGCACATGCTAACAGGTTGGCAGAAAATAAAAACCAATTGTTTCAGACCAGCTATCAGCATCCTGAAAGCACTGGATATACCAAAAGCTGCCATCCAAGTTATTTGGGCCATTTCTCTCAGATCCCGGGTGGGTTGTCAGCTTGTATCCCTTTCAAGGTGATAACATGAATGCTGTTTGTTTAAGTAAATCTAGTTAAAAATAGACACACCTGGTAAAGTTAGGTAGGTCTGAAGTAATCCAGAAAGTGTTGGGATTGATCAGTCTTGCCTCGTTTATCAGTGAGACTTGGAGATGTAGTCATACCCTTGTTTAAGCCAAAGCTCTAACAGGGAGGGTTGTGTTAGTTGGTCAAGTGCCTCAGTACTTTCTAAATGATATAAAAAAAATATTTTTCCTGATCACACCCAAAGACCTTCTCTTTCACCGTGCTTAGGGTCACCTCTCCACTTCCCCTGGCTCGGTGTCAGGCTTTGCCACTGTTAACCGTTCCGAGACATTACCCCGCATGAAGGGTGTTATATAAATGCAAGCTGTTGTTGCTGTTGATGTGTATGCATTACATAGTGTCTCTTTATGGAGGTTTCTTCTGTTGCAGCTCACATGTGAATCTCACTGTAATTTTCTATCAAGATCACGTTTTAATATAAAGATTGGACTCCTTTTTGATTTGTGATTTTAACCCAACTGTTCCACATCAACCAATACAATATACCCTGTGAAGCGGTTGGAGATGTCTCAAAGGCGTGATAAGGCACTATATCAAAAGCAAGGATTATTATTATTATAAATTTACCATTACCTTGGGTACAGACTTCTTTCTGTGAAGTGATAGAATAGGTGTGGATATTATTTGAACATTCTCTACACATTCCCTTTCTGATGCATTGCAGTTGGGAGCACAGTGCTGGTTTACTCCAGATAATAAGACATTGTTAACCCATTGTCAGTGTCCCTGAAATGAACCGGTATGAAATGTTTACCTTGTATCCAGAACAAAAATTTAGACTAGAATAAATTTGTATTGCTTTAGACAGAATATTAAATAGCTTACCACAAAGTTTTGAGATGAATCCATAAACGGTATTTTAAAGCGAACTGGGTAAACCACATACTGGAAAGATCATATACAGTACTTTGAAAGAACAATATTAAAGGATATGGGAAAAGAACAGGGAAATGGGATTAGAACAGGTAACTCTAGTAGCGGAACCCAGCACCAAACAAACAAATTGCATTTATACAGCAAATGCACATCGGGAGGACGTCTCAAGGCAACACCTAGTGGGACCGAATGGCCTCCTCTCTTCTGTAAATTAACGATATTCCTTTATTCTATTCCAGAATAAAGTGCATGGTTTATTGTAATTATCCTAGATCTCTGCTTCCTAGAAAAACATTGGAGTCTACAGACATCCACAATGTAATGGCCCTACACTGCAATTTATCAGCAAATCCATTTTAAACTATCTTTTAAACAAGTTTGTGCCATTTTGTTGGCAAGTCCTTTTGGTTTTCTTATAATGTCCGCTCAGTTTATTGCAAGACTTGCAGATGAGCTGTTATAGTTTATTCGCCCACAAATACATAGTCATTAAATGTTACATCTCTACAACGTGATAAGGGGCTATGTAAAATGCAAAGAATTTTTCGGATTATTGTTTAGTCAGTATATAGTTACCTTTTCTCAAAGTTGTACACTGAACAATCTATTGCCCTTTACAATAGTCACTTTTGGCAGATACAGAGAGTAATGGTTCTCCACACAGGCTGATCACATACTGTCCTCAAATAGGGAGACACCTTGATCTCTGCCTCTTGTCCTTTGTAGAGACCACACGCAGACTGAGAAAAAAAGACTAGTTTATAAAGAAGGACATTTCTATATACTTGAGCAATTCATTTTAATCACCTCTTGGTGGGGGTGGGTTTAGATGGAATGGCAGAAGCATTATTATATTTGGCAAAATGTTATCTTTCAAACTTAAAAATGGCTGAGTTCCCATTTGGTTGTCTTTACTAGTTTATATAATGAATTGAGAATAATCTTCAGCAGAGATATATTATCGTCATTCTGTTACTGATAAGTTTTATTATCTAAGGCACACAGATTAGAATCTGTGACATATGAAAGGTATATTGCATTTACTGATCCTTTGTCAATAGTTTTACGTAATGGTGGTACTGTTTGTGTTTAGATAATGGATACATTGAAGGCAAAGAGCTGGATGATTTTTTCCTGCACCTCCTGAAGAAACTCGGTACTGAGGTGAGCAAATATCCTGCTTCGGGCGGTTTGCTTGTTGCCGCTGTTCTTAAATAAGCATTTCCACGGAAACCAATGTTGGTCAATAGACCCAAGTATAATTCTCTCACAGCAACTGGTTATCTAGTTTCAAGGGTGGGGAGTAAAAAACAGATAAGAAATAACCGTAAAAGGATGGCCAGCCTGTTCACCGGTGAACATCATTGCCCCTTTCTCAGCTTTTTAGAGACTGAAAGCCCCCCCCGACAGGGACGTATAACTGACAGTACTGAATTGAAGTACTCCTTGTCCTAAATGTGACGCTCACTTTCCTTTAAAGCCCATCAAACAGTTGCTTCACTGAATGTAATATACCCCCACTCTGATCCTGTGTTTTTACCCAGTTTTTGCTTTAACTTCACTGTACTCTTGATTGTTTTGGTTTGAATGCAGTAAACCTGAGTGCTCTTTCCTGTGCCATAATCTGCTGAGGGCTGGATGTCCTTTCCTTGCATTATTGATTTTTTTAAAAAATCTATTTTTACCTTGAATTGTTAATTTTTCTCTTTTTGCTCACTTGTTACTTTTCTGTGGGTTCCAAACACGTTTCAGTATCTCAACTAAGCTGCTATTCTTCATATGTTAGTCTGGAGTATATTTATCTTTTATCTTTTGTCTGCATTTTTATTCCTTCGTGTAAGAAAGAGCTAGTATTCCTCCTCTTTTATTCTCCCCCACTGTCTCAAACTAAAAGTGTTGAGGCCAATTATAGCAGAAATCCAAGCTAATCCATAACAGGCATTTCAAACAGTGGCTTCTGCCGATGTGTATCACACCAACCCATGGCAATGTGCCTACAAAATACACAGTCAGTGCACTTTACAGTGAGTCATGTGAAGCACTTTGAGAGGTCTCAATGATGTGTTAAAGAGCTATAGTAAATTCCTGCTAAGCCATCACTCCAAGGGAAAAGGGCTCAGTGACAAGTTACCTGGAGTGTCGAGTTAGGCATGTTACAAATACATAAATAAATGCAGTCGGGATATTGACAGCATGATGACTTAAGTGGTAGTGACAAGTTAAGCCAGGGTCGAGTTACCAGGAGTTTATTGTATAAGAAATGAAAGGATTATTATTATTATTATTATAATTATATCTCCTCTCCCATGCAGTCTACTGGCCACGGTGAAACTTTAGTAATGAGGATTGCTTTCCCAGACCAAATTCAGAAATCCCACCCAGGATGAAAGTTTAATTTCATTCTATGTACACTTAATAGCAATTACCTGTGTGGTTACAATGTTGCCTTCTGTTCAGAGTGGAGTGAGTTTGCAGTGGAGTGGAATGAGCGAGTATCTGGATCCTGTACATGACGGTAATTTTCCAGGATGTAGAGCTAGTTTAGTTCTGGATGAGAGACCTTTACAGATTTTAGTAAAATGAACTGAAATACCTGTGTGCGTGTGTAATGTTTTCCAATACACCTCAAAGTGTTTGGAAACAATACATGCTGAAACTGTTATTACTGATTTTATTGGCTTCCTTATCTAATATTGAGAGTAGCAAGCTAGAATAAGAACTACTTAAACTTGAGTGCTTTTCCAGTAAAGCAAATGGGTACAAAAACAAAAACCGTTGTGTAATGATGGAGTATTAATGTAATGAATGTAAAGGGGCATACACTTAACTGTTAACTAACTGCAGAGTTTCATCTATCCTGTACTTTGTTTAAATTTCACCTTCAGCACCTGTATTTCCATATGCATCACTGTTTCAGTTAAGCAGATAGTTAAAAATTAAAGAGGAGATGCAGCAGCTGCTGTGCAATTGATGTCCTGCCTCAAATGTCAAATCTGGTTTGCCAATAGGTTCTCTGCTTCTATGCGATTAACTTGTTTGCTTGCGACATGATTGAATTAAAGAGCACTCTATCTTGGACCAGTACAGTTAATGGTAGGCAATCTATGATGCACCATTGATGTTACAATCAGGAAAAGTTCTCCCCCACCCCCCAAATTTTTCCCCCTCCCATACCTTCCCAACTAACTGCTCATTTATGAACCTGGTTGGTGAGTGCAGCAATGCAACTGAGGGGATGTGACACCTGAGACCTATACTGTGCTCTTCTGGTGTCCAAATTCCTAATGAGTCCCTGCCCCAGTGACTGTTCTGCCCTGCCAATTCCTGCCAATGAGCCAGGCTGGCTGTGCTGGCATCAGCAGTGCCCTGGAATACTGCGCACCCGCCTGGCTCAGAAACTGGACTACTGACGATGGGTATGATTTGACATTTGATTGCCAAACAGCACCAGCTATTTAATCCAGGTCCTCAGGGCCATGGCGAATAGACTGTGAAGCCGCCTCTGCTTTTTTGTTTTATTTCCCCCCACATTTCAAGTCCACATTGAGTCACATTTCTGTTCTGATACAGTGGGTGGGCACTGCTCTGTGTGAACTGCAGCAGATCACTTAATTTGAATAACCCCACGGGGTGCGATTCAAGCTGAGTTAGTGTTCAGAACTAACAAACCATGTAAGTGCCACTTATGTGAAGTATTTCATAGAACCAGAGATATTTACAGCACAAGCGAAGGGCATTCGGTCTTTAAATACATTGTGACCAAAAGTCGTGACACCATTACAATGTCTTATAAGTCTTAAAGAAATGATGATATTATTGGGGTGGGGGTCAGATAATCTGTTTCCAAATTTTTTCATTCAACTAACTTTTTTTAAATTCTTCCGTTTCTAACCCTAACCCTCATTTCACCTGTACTGAGGAATAGTTCCATGGGTGCTGGATACTCTCTGGTACCTCACCCATTAATCACGTGTGAGGCTTGACGGTGAGTGCGGTTCAAACACGTGGGACGTGATGAAGAGGGTGGGGGGGCGGTGTTTGGACGAGAAGTGCAGCCAAACCCAATACTGTTTCCATGTCCACACATGCCTCAAGCAAGATTGATAGATAGTTACCATGGGTGGGAACCCTGACTGTTTCTTTCCCCACTCCCCACATCATTCCTCCTAGAAACCTCATATCAATTGACTGGTACCCTGGATGGAGTTACATACCTCAGCACAGTGTGAATCTGGGACCTCAATCATTCATTCTGTCCAGCTTTTTCAACAGCTCATGCAGCGAAGTCACTTGTTTACTTTTCAATTGAGAAATTGGCTCTGAGACAGACAGAATACTAAAATATAGTGATCTGACTAGCTCCGCAGACGTGAAACCCAAACTCCCACCCAGGCTGGTGGCTGTTTGCCAGGCAGGGCATGAATCTCAGGCTGTTATGTGCTAGTGCTTTGTACATTTGAATAAACCTTACATTTGGTATAGTATCCTATCACATTGGAAGGACATTTCAAAATGCTTCACAGGATTTATTGACTGTGTATTTGTAGGCAAAGGGGCAGCACAGTTGTGGACAACAATGTCCCATAAAAAAACACCTATGGAGTGAGTGACCAATTTTATTTTGGAGGATTGTTGGCCAGCCCGCTGGGAGAAACTCCCTTCTCTTTTCGAATAGACACTGCTGTGTACAATTCACTGTCGTGTTTTGCCCACACAATATACAGTAAATTCACTTTACAGTATATTCTGTGAAGCGTTTTGAGACATCTCGAAGACGTGATAAGGCGCTATATCAAATGTAAGGATTATTATTTTTATAGTGGGATCTTTAATGTCCAACTGAACAGTCTGATTGGACCTAAGTTTAATGCCTCATCCGAATAAGATAGTTTTAGTAGATTTTATCAAGTACAATTGAATTGAAATTGACTATAATCTGTCTCTGTACCTCAGCACAACAGCAACATAGACTTGCATAGCACCTTTCATAAGATAACATTACAAAGTATTTGCAAAGTGTGAAGAGTGAGAGGGAGGGAGGTTTGTGGATGGTAACTGAAGACATAGTCGAGAGTATTGAAGGTTGTGAGAGGCAAAGAGATTTTGAGAGAGTTCCAGAGAGCAGGGGCACAGTGGCTCTAAATTTGGCAGAATTCAATCTAAGCCCTTCCACTCACAGAGCATCAGAAAGTGTTAGTTTATTCCATGGGAATATGGTGGTTCCAATCTACTTCTCGTCAGGAGGGCAATAAAAATGAATTGTAACTTAGTTTACAACTGAGCTTAGAATAAATCAGTGACACGTTTAAAACTACAGAACATTGTCTCCTTCATCTACAACAACAATGGGTTGGGATCTCGCCAAGTAACCACAGCCTTAATGTGCATGTGAACTTGCACCAGTTCCAATTTGTTTAATGTGGAGGCTGTTCTACCCTATTGAGCTTCAACAAGTGAAATGCCCACCCACAGCTCTGCCATTGCCCTTATATTTCTATTCAGGGTTTATCATTAACTTTGTGTCACTGTTCTTAATCAGACTGGGAGTCTATCAGCGCTTGGTATGGGTCTATTTCTAGTTGGTTTGCTCTGAAAGTTATGGGGTCTGATTGAAACATTTGCACCCCTCAACTTGAAACCCATTGTTAGATGCCGAGGAAGGGTAACAGGCTATGTGTGTCAGACTGAGAGAAGTGCAATAAAATGGCAGCTGCAGGTGTTTGTCTTTGTGAATCTATTCAATGTGCTGTCCATTTACACAGTTGTCTGAACCTCGCGCCTTGTGATAGTATTCAACACACATGGGAATGCTGGGTTACTGCTTATAGTGAGTCTGGCACAGGTTTGCTGGCTTTTATATTATTTTCTCTGTTGGCAGATTGTTGAAATTTACTTTGTGTAGCTGCTGTTATGGGTGCAGAGGTTTTGTATTCAACACATGGTGGGGAGGGAAAAACCAGCAGCTCCTATTTCCATTTCTATAGGGCCTGTCACATGGTGTAGTGTCTCGGAGCACTTAGAAACACACTGTTTAACTCTAGATTAGGGCTATAATGGGGTCATCTGATAGGAAGAAAAGTGAGCTTTGCTGCTGAGAGTGAATGTGAGTGACTAAGCTAAGAAATGTTATGTCAAGTCATATTATGTTATTTCAAGGAGACAGGATATAAGTAACTTTAATACTCCAGTGGGGGAAAACTAACCAGGTTTGTCATTCCTAATTGCTGTCTGCTATTAATTCACTATAAATTCAAATAAATGTGCCTCCCCATTTAGAATGTATTCCCAAGTACTCTACATCCAAAGTGTACTGTGATTGGTATGTGGTAAAAAGTACACTTTGATATGTATCCCACTATGTTACATTAAACTGCATCACCATCTGACTCCTGATGTAAAAGGCGCTTTATAAATGTAACTTTGTATTGTATTATTATAAAGACTCCAACTAGAGGGCTGTGTGATCGTGAACACAAAACACTCTTTATTCTCATTTTTATGACTCATCACAACAAAAGGAAGATCAATTTACTCACAGTGCTCAAAAACTATCACAATCCAAAATGAATTCAACCTCCAGCTAATTCCATCTATCAATTTTGGACTAATTAATTTCATTCAGGTTGTGAATGCCACGCTGCTTATTAGCTTTTAAATAGCCAATTTGTTTAGATTTCTAAATGTACAACTGACACAAAGTTATTTTCAGACATCGCTTCTATAATATATCCCTGAATGTGTGGATTTCATATAGCTGTATAATTTAATCAATTGCCTCGGATAAAGACTGAATTCCCCAGAAAATTTGTTTTTGCAAAGCTTCCATTCCAGCTCAAAAAATTCATCTGTGTTTTTGATAAACTGGCAACTGGAACAACTTTACTGATCTCTCAGAGCAAAACAAATACACAATCCCTACACTTTACAGTAAATTTTCCCACAAAATGTAGTCAATTCACTTTACACAATATTTTGTGAAGTGCTTTGAGACATCTTGAAGAAGTGATAAGGTGTTATATCAAATGCAAGTATTATTATTAAATTCTGTGAATTGCTACAAAAATAATAATAATCCTTGCATTTGATATAGCGCTTTATCACGTCTGAGCAAAGGGAGCGGACAGTTTAGAAGATGTCTCAAAGCGCTTCACAGAATATACTGTAAAGTGAATTAACTGTATATTTGTGGGCGAAACGCGGCAGCCAATTGCACACAGCAGCGTCCCACAAACAGTCGCGGATTGAAGTGACCAATTTATTATTGTTTTCTTGAGGAATTATTATTAGGAGTGAAAGGTGCTAAATCAAATAACATCTAGGCTTGACTATGCCAACTCCCTGCTTGTCGGCCTCCCCAGCTCTTCCCTCCACAAACTGCAGATCATCCAGAACTCTGCAGCCATGTCCTCTCCCACACCAGGCTCTGTGTCCTCATCATACCCATCTTCGCTCCACTGGCTCCCCATCCCTCAGAGGATTGAGTTCAAAATCCTCATTGTCTCCTTCAAGACCCTCAACGGCCTTGCTCCCTCCTACCTCTCCGACCTACTAACCCCTTATCAAACTGTCCGCTCCCTTTGCTCAGTAGGCTCGGCCTGCTTCATGTCCCCCACCCAGCCCACCCCACCATCAGCGGTCAAGCCTTCTGCGCTCTCTGCCCCTACACTCTGGAACTTCATCCCTCATTCCCTTTGTTTGTGATCTTAAAAAATATTATGGGTGCAGAGCTCTTTCTTAATTCTTAATTGCAGTTTGCCACAAGCTTCCTTTTGATAGATGGAGACATGCCTAAAATTGTGAGAGATTTCAGGAGTCTATTTCCTAAAAGCTGAGGTGGTTAAGATGTGATCGTATTGAAGGACTTAAAATAATGAAGGGAATTAACATATCCCTGATGCGGAATACATTTCTGCTAGAGGAATCCAATTCAAGGGTAAATCTTCAAAGTGGAGCAAAACCAGTTGGAAGTAAGATCCTAACCTATTTCTTCATACAGAGGGTTATGTGAAGTTAGAATGGCGGCCTAAGAAAGCTATAGAATTGATGGGATATGGTTGTGTACACAGGCAGACAGACACACACATCTACACAGAGACACAGACATACAGGTACACACACACAAATAAAAGAGAAGACCACCACCAACAACAACAACAATATTACATTTGTATAGCGCCTTTCATGTCGGGAGGACGTCCCAAGGAGCATTTACAGCATTTCAGACCAGAATGAATGTTGCCTTTGAATTGTCTATATCAATAAGTACTGGGAAACGAATATCAGAATGAGGACAGTGGAGAATCCTTTGTGTGACTGCAAGCCCAGGGAACTCATTCACAGCCAAATCCAAACAATTTTAGTTCTGTGGCCCACGTAATGGTTGTTTGTTTGCGAGATGTCACAATGTATCAGTGCAGCAGTAGCTGATGTTGATGTGCTGCTATAAATAGTTCTCTGAAGATTGGTCACACTTAACACAGTGCTGCTTGTTTAGAAAGACGATCTTATCTCCAAAGCCTTTATCGAATTAGAACTCAGTTGGAAAATCATGCATGGGTAGGCTTGGTAAATGGAATGGATTCTAACACCTGCGTGTGCTACTTGGCTTTCACAGGATGACCTGAGTGCAGGGAAGGTGCAGAAAATAAAGGAGCGTTTTATGTCCGTCTATGACGTCACTGCCGATGGAAGACTACAGATACAGGAGGTGAAGATTTTCGCGAGCGGTGCCCGGGCGCATATATATCTAATATCGTGCAAGTCTTGCACTTAAAAATAGTCTCACTATCAATGCCCCTATTTTTAAAAAGTCAGTGTGTATTCATGTTTTGTCTCTTTCTCTCACTACCTTTTATATTGGCCGCAATGTGACGCTTGTGTGATCTCTCTTCCTCTCTCTTTCTGTCTCTCTGACTACCACCCTCCATGAATGCCTATTTTCACAGTCGAAATTATGTTGAATCTGGGAATGATGGACCGTATTGTCCTGTGTCCTGTGCTCACAGGACAATACAATAGAGTACTGACATGCTGTCTGGGATAGATTCTTCAGCAGTTGCTCTGAATGAAGCAAGATTACTTGCTGCTCGATTATCAGCCTGAATTTCCCAGTTCTCCTGCAAGTAAACACAGCCGCATTAAACACAAAAGCATTAATCTGGAATCCTGTAGCTCAGTGGTTAGAGCACTCGCCTTGCAAGCGAGAGGACCTGGGTTCAATTCCTGGCAGGGCGAAACGTTGGGCACGTTTCCTTACTCCATACAACTCTGTTCATCTAGCAATAAGTAGGAATCCAGTCGTTGTCGATTGGCGGATAGATTTTCCGGGAATAATAATTCCTTCCCAGACTGCTCAGGTGATTATTTGCCAATTAACTGAATAACTCCTGAATTTGCTGACACAATCTACCTCCACAGCCTCCCTGGGAAGCCCACTGCACATCTGTGTCATTCTATATGGAAAGTAATTAATTCTGAACTATCTGCCCACTTTCCGAGAAAAAGCTCCATTAAGCCCACTCCTTACACAGACAATGCAAACCTACCCTACCTTCACTATCAACCCATTCATTATCTCCTAGAGACGGGGGAAGAAGGTCTCCAAAGATTTTCCCTGACTACTAAAACACAGAATCTAGGATAGTCACGTAATCCATTCATCTCAAATAGCCCAATAATAATAATAATAATCCTTGCGTTTGATATAGCGCTTTTCACGTCTTCTAGACGTCTCAAAGCGCTTTATAGAATATATTGTAAAGTGAATTGACCGTATATTTGTGGGCGAAAAGCGTCTGCCAATTGCGCACAGTTGCCAAGGCGACTGGTGTGAGGAATGGCCATCTTCCTTCCATGGTTTACCTTGCAATGCTTGTCTTTCGAGGCAGACTGACAGCAACAACTTCCACAGCAAACAGAGCCACCTTGTCTAACTTACAATATTAACTCTAAGGTCAGGGCTGACGATGGAAGCAGCAGGGAAACTGACAGGGACGTAATCGATTCAACCTCTCATCATATGTCATGCACATGTATCCTTGCACGTTTCCCTGAGGTCAGTTGCTGCAAGTGGTACCACAGTGTGGTAAGATATCTCAGCCCTAGTCACAGAATCATTCATGTGTAAAAGATATTGAAGATAGTTGATGTTCATGGTGTGACCTTCAGTCTCTGTTTCTGCAGTTGGCAAACATGATCCTACCAGAGGATGAGCACTTCCTTCTGCTCTTCCGCCGAGAGACTCCATTGGATAATAGCGTGGAGTTTATGCGGGTAAGATAAAATCTACTGAGGCCAGTCTGGGACCTTATTTATCTTATGATAAACCACATGGCAGAACTCATCTCTGTAATGTGTTTGGATGATACTTAAATTGCTGCAAAACTGCCAAAGCTGTGGAGTTTGTCCCTCGGAGTAAACCAGGGTTGTGATCAAAGCCACAGCAACCTCAAGGGGTTTGAGAGCATGTAAGATGAGAGTTACAAGTGCAAAAGGGTCCAATACACTTCAGTTGGTCTGCCTGAGACTGTGTGGTATTGCACTTCACTGCAAAATTTGTGATGTGCATTGAAATTGCTTTTTCATCCACTAATTGAGGAAAGCTATTGCCATGGTTAAAGATTATCGAAACTAGAAAAGTTCCACGTATGTATGTCACCTATACTTGGAAATTTCCATGTCTGGAATGGAAGGCGCACATTCTCACTGGAGGGAGACACACTCCTCTTACCTAATACCAGAGAGTATTAAACAGAGGTTGACAAGAGGTAAGACCTGGAGACAGAACTGGAGCCTCGTAACACAGGTTGTTTTCAGCAGGGAATTCCTTGTACATCACCTTGACCTAGGATCACAAGTCTCGGGAGTCATGAGACTTACCGAGGGTATCCCTGCAGAAAATGCTGTTTTAGTTGTGAGCTTTTTTGCCAGCAGCAAATTGCCAGTAACGCTACCACTTCAAGAGGAGTAATTTATTTTAACTTTGGAAATTCAAAAATTAGGAACCTGAGAACTACACTGTGGATATCCATGTAATGAAGCAATAGAAACCAGGTTGTGTGTTGTATGTTGATGAAACTGACTGAACGGACCAATTGGTCTCTTTTAGTTTAGTGAGTTAATTGTGTGAGAAGAATGATTGAGGGGAATTTCTATGAACTTACGCACAAAGTAATAGGAACGTTGTTTATTAATAGTAAATTGGGAATATATCTCATCATATCGGATGTTATTTCAAGAGGCTGTCACTTCATATCATGGCTATCTTATCCTGTACGTATCCTTTGTTATCTTTTGCAGTTTTGGCGTAAATATGATGCAGACAGCAGTGGATATATTTCAGCTTCTGAACTCCGGGTAAGTCTTTCAGTCATTCATTGAGTGATGAACCAAGATTCATTCAATCATTGAGATCGGAAATAGTACATGTGCATTTGTGTGTGTGTGTGTGTGTGTGTGTCTGTGGTGGGGAGGGGCAGTATCAGGGTTGGGGAGTGTAAAGAGAGAGTGTGTGTGGGCAATGCAGGGGTTGGTAGTGAGCATTGCCTGGATTAATTCCTTTGGCTTCTATTTTCTGTCCCATCCCAGTGCCCGGCCTCAGTTTTTCTCCTCAATTCTGTTGTCAGTAACTTCCTTGATGAGAATCACAGCCACACAAAATACCGAACAAGCAAATCTAATGTGCATTTCTTAAAAGCTAAACCTTTGGCCACCACTTCTCACAGTTTTCATACCTGATCTGAGAAGGGCATTTCTCATTGCAATTGAATCCAATCATTTACGCGTGACTGGGTAATGCAATCCCACCTCCTTTGGGGACTGCATCACTGCTGTCTCATTGCTGAGTCTCGATCGCTGCTTTAAAATGAAGCCTTGTGTTTTCCAGAATGGAAAATTGTTGCGTTCTGCCTTTTTTGGATACTAAATATGCCAGAGAATAATGAAGCTGCGTGTTAAAACAAATATTTCATTTTTGTTCTGGTTGCAACAAACAGAACTTCCTGCGAGACCTGTTCATTCAGCACAAGAAGGTGATTGCAGAGCCCAAGTTGGATGAGTACACGGATACAATGGTGAGCATTACTGCACCTTTATACTCGTATAATCTTTAGCCAATTCGCACAAAGAAGTCGCTTTGATCCTCTTAGATGTAAGAATTGCAATTTGCAGAACATGATCTCGTCACGGATCTCTGCTCAGATGTTCATTCGTTTTACTCATTTTTCTTGGGCATTGTGTTCATTTACCTTCTTAAATAGGCAAATGGTGAACGATTCAAAGGTCACTCTTGTCTTGTTTCAGTCAGTAATGTATCTTGACACAAGTGTTTTAGTGGAGAAAAACTGACTGCTAGGAATTTGCATTTGGGTGAGGAAGGCAGAAATAACAGTTCATATTGAACACATTGCTAGCTTCCCTGGTAGCCTGGTGGTTAAGCACAACATACACATTATGGCGTTAATCTAATCCGTCCATTAATCCCACTTAGAGCCCAGCCTTTAATTCTGATCTATGATGATTTTGCTCATCTCAGCTATGGCGGTAGGAAAGGGGATTGTAAAAGCACAAGTTAAGGAGAGGAAAGGAGGCTGGATTACTGCTTTCTAAGACATCTAAGAACTCTGGCTGTATACGGGCATGTGTGGAGATTGGGATTGGGGGAGGACAGGATTCGTCTTGACTTATTCCCTCTAGTCTTTCTACCCACCCAAAATTGCATCTTGTAGACACTGTCAATTTAGCTCCTCATGAGAGTGATCACTGGAGGATGGCTAGCATGGGAAATGGGAACAGTCACACTGCTGCTTTAGTAAGCGCTCTTTTGAGGTCAAGCAGCTGAATCTTTAATCTCTGGGCACTTCACGACATTGCCCTGCATTATATTTGCCCTATATATGCAACATGTTGTAATATTCTATATCTAAGATAGGGTGCACCTGACCTGAAAGTGCTCAATTCTGAAATAGTTAGGTCCCTCACCTTTGAGTACAAAATGAGTTTAGTGTTTTAAAAAAGAACATTGTATAACAAAAAACAGGCCATCAATCGAGTATCAGCATTAACACATTGGTTGATTGCTTGGGGGCAATTCAAGATTGTTCTTATTTCACGGTTTGATTTATTTTAACAATGGTTTATAAATTACCAGTTAGTTTTTGTGCTTGCGTATAAAATTCAGTTCTAGAAGCTTCTTGTTCCAGGACTATTGTTCCAGATGACTGCCTGACCTAATTTAGGAGTGATGTTGGAGTAACAAAACAATCCACAGAGTTCCCTACTTCTGTGCCCTACCTGCTAACTCCATACTGACCTGTCCACTCCCTCCAGTCAGTGGGATCTGACCTGCGCCATGTACCCTGACCTACCCACCCCACCATCAGCGGTCAGGTCTTCAGCCTTTCTGCCCTTACCCCACAGTCCCTTCACTTCACTTCCTCCCTTGTCTCCGTCAAGGCCAGTCTCAAGACCTTCCGCTTCGACCATGCCTTTGGTCACCCTCCTACCCCTGCCCTCCCTGCCCTCCACCCTCCTTATTCCAATCCCCAGCTCAGATGCAAATCCTTGAATGTCCAGCACATTGGGATGTCCTCCTAACACCCCTCTCCTTAAATCCCAGCTCCACCTCCTTGCTCCACTACTCGCCGACATCATCAACCTCTCCCTGTCATCTGGCACTGTTCCTACTCCCCTCAAAACAGCCACTATCACCCCTACCTTGAAGAAACCTTCCCTTGACCCATCACAGCTATCCAGCTACCGGCCCATCTCAAATCTCCCTTTTCTGTCTAAGGTCCTTGAGAGAGCCGTCACCTCCCAACTTCGCTCTTTTCTCTCCTCCCACTCCCTCCATGAGCCCCTCCAATTGGATTTCCATGCAGCCCACAGCACAGAAACTGCTATGGTCAAGGTCACAAATGACATCCTGACCATGTGTGACCTGGGATCCCTCTGCCTCCTCGTCCTGGAACCTGGATATCTTGTTTGACCCTGAACTGTCCTTTCTCACCCACATCCTCTCCATGATCAACACTGCCTACCACCACCTCCACAACAATGCCAGACTCCGCCACTGCCTCACACCTCAGGCTGCCGAAACCCTCACCCACGCATTCGTCACATCAAGGCTCGATTATGGAAACTCCCTCCTCATCGGCCTTCCCAACTCTTCCCTTCACAAGCTGTAGATCATCCAAAACTCTGCAGCTCGTGTACTCTCGCACACTAGGCTCCGTGACACCATCACTCCCATCCTCACCCGACTCCACTGGCTCCATCCCTCAGAGGATCGAATTCAAGATCCTCATCCTCACTTTCAAGGCCATCCATGGCCTTGCCCCCTCCTACCTCTCTGACCTGCTGACTCCCTACCAACCTGCCCGCTCCCTCCGTTCATCAGAATCCGGCCTGCTCCATGTCGTCCGCCCAACCCGTCCTACCATCACTGGCCAGGCTTTCAGCCTCTCTGCCCTCACACTCTGGAACTCCATCCCACAGTCCCTACTCTTTGTTTACTCCCTTGCCTCCTTCAAGGCCGGTCTCAAGACCCTCCTTATCGATCACGCCTTCAATTGCCCTCCCACCTCTCTGCCTTCCCTCACCCCTACGTCACCCTTCCCCTATGCTCGGGTCCTGACCCCTAACTGTCCGGAGCCTTGGGACGTCCTCCCAATGTGAAGGACGCTCTATAAATGTAATTTTGTTGTAGATGTAATGTGAAAGGAGCTATACAAATGTAATTTGTTGTTGATATTGTTGTAGGTTGGTCACAAGGCCACAGCTTGAGACTTGCTTCTGTTTGCTTTCAGATGAAATTCTTTGACAGAAACAAAAATGGCCGCCTGGACCTCAATGACTTGGCGAGGTCAGTCTCTTAATATTCTTGATTGGCCATCTCTCTCTCTCGCTCTCTCTCTACCTCTCAGTCTAAAACCTACTACCCCTTCCATCACTTATGTGATCTTAGCATTCAGAAGAAGTACTTTCCATCATATAAGTTCCATTAACTAAGTAATAATTGCCACTTTGAATAGTTAATATACTGTGTGTCAAGACTGATAGAAAACTGCATTAGATTATCTTGAATTGTACATTGCAATATTCTAGGTAGTCAGTCGTGTAATTTTTTTCCAAAGAAGCTTGATTTTTCATTTTCAAATACGACATAGAATCATCAAAAGCAGTGCTCAAAATGGGAGCAAAGTGTCTTCTGATACTTATGAAGTCAGCCTCTAATACCGTGGATCTTTGTTATCAGGTGATAGTTGGGTCCGTAAAATGCTTACAATAATGGGGAATAATAGCTGGTTTCAGTTCACATACAAGTGGCCAGCTCACTTCCTGCACTCATAAATGCTGACTTCCAGGTCATCAAGTTGCTGCTGACATCACTTTCTGCTTGCTAAGCGCGCACATAGCTGCAAGTGATATCAGCAGTGACCTGATTGAAATTGGCCATCATTTGTAGCATGGGAAAGGTAAAATAACCAACTTCTGGGTCATCAGGTTCCTGCTAATGTCACTTGATGATCACCGCTGTCCTGACAGGACGTCTGTCAGACATCAAGTCCTGGATGAGAGCTAACTTTCTACAGTTGAACGTCAACAAGACCGAAACTCTCCTGATTGGCTCCCGTCAGTGCCTCCTCACCTCAGGCGCCGACAGCATTACCATCCATGGTTGCACGCTCCTCCTCACCGAGCCAGACTGGAACCTTGGCATCTTGTTTGACCCTCAACGATCCTTTCTACCCCACATCCATGCCGTGACCCACTCTGCCTTCCCCGACCTCCGCAACATCGCCCGGCTCCGCCACATCTACACCACACATATGCTGTAGATCATTCAGAACTCTGCAGCCCATGTCCTCACCCGCACCAGGCTCCGTGACCCTTTCACGCCATCCTTGTCTGACTTCACTGGCTTCCCATCACACAGAGGATACAGTTCAAGATTCTGGTCTTTACCTTCAAAGACCTTCACTGCCTTGGTCCCCCTACTTCTGCAACCTTCTAACCCCCCTACAAACCTGCCCGCTATCAGTCCCTCCACCTCACCCCCTCTCTTGCCTCCTTCAAGACCTGTCTCAAGACCCTCCTCTTCGACCGTGCCTTCGGTCACCATCCTTACCCCCACTGCCCTCCACCCTCCCCAATCCCGACCCCCAGCTCAGGTCTGAACCATTCATTGTTCAGCGCCTTGGGATATTCTCCCGATGTGAAAGGCACTATACAAATGTAATTTTGTTATTGTTTTTTGCTCAGAAGTAGAACAATTTAGCCAAATGCCATCTGGTATGCAGGAAACAAGTGTTGACTCTGTATGTGGGCAGAGAATGAAGTCCACAGTGCAAACTCATTAGAACCAAATTTTGTGCTTTATAATAATTTTATAACCAAATTTGTGCACATTATAACAGGGCAGTTATATAGTTATGTATTGTACTTGTATTAAAAAAGTACCAGTATAACAAACAGGCAATAACATAAATACTTGAATGAAGAAAGGGACGCATTCTCCCTCAGTAATAATGCGTTCACTAGGCTAAACATACAACCCCGTCAATACAATGGCTTTCTCTTTCAGTGAACAGTATCACTTTAGTGGCTCAGGCAATTGAATCAGAAATAGATTTAACAGAAATAGAATTTAAATAATTGAGCTAAATACAACACAAGACCAAAACTGTAGATTCATACAAAGAAGAATAAAAATGCTGTAATAACCTTTAAAAGGTTTTATTAGGAGAATGGTGCTGGGTTCTGAAACCACCGCGGGGACTTCTAAGTTCACAGATTAGCCAGATTTTCTCTGCAGCTCAGGAGTTGACTTATCCCTCAGTCAAGACTTCCTCAGTCAATTCCTTTAACAGGAGAAATACAGGCCAACCCTGTTATTGGACAGCGCCACGCTATAGCTTGAGTTCACTTTTAGCCTGGGTGTCCTGTGCACCCACGGTTTCCAGAAGTGTGGTACAGATACAACTTTCAGCATTTTCCGTCCCATTCTAATAAATAGCTTCCAGGTTGTCAGGTTGCTGTTATCAGCAATAACAGCGCACTGTACAGGAGGAAGCACTGAAGCTTCATTTCCTGCACAAGGGTTTTCACATACGTCACTTCCTGAACTTCACACAGGAAGTGACAGTGGAAGCAATCCAATGATCCAGAAGTTGGACTTTGTTTGGCACTCGCATCGCGCCTGAGATCGCAGATGACCATACGATAACAGAGTTCTCCTTTGTCTTGTTGGTTTACGCAACATTTCCTGAAAGCTCTTGAATTTTAAAATGCATTTAACCTCTTTAACGTTTAAAAGGCAGCTCCAAGCCATGTCTATGAAATGCCTTGCCCAAAATGCAGTAAAGGCTGAATCAATAGAGATGTTTAAATGAGAGAGAGAGAGACAGAACCTTGGGTAATTGAGGTATTAAAGAGCATGGTAGGCATCAAGATCCAATAAACTGGTGGAACAGGTCTGATGAGATGAAAGGCCTGTTCCGGTCCCTCTTTTCCTATGTTCCAACATCATCCAACTCCAGATTCTAGCTTTACAATGATCATTTTACACCTTATAGAATATATATGGTTTGGCTAAAATCTGGCTTTAGTTCTCCGTACTTGTGAATTGCTTGAGATAGTTTGATTTTAAAGGCACCATATGAGTTGTCCATAATTTATTATTATAACATGTCTCCTTCATGCAAATTCACCCAAAACAGATTAATTGGTCATTTCATGCAAAGTAGTTGTTGTGTGCAATTGTTGGGCAGCAAAACAAAGTTCGCTAACCATCAATCTTGTTGTATGTTTGAAGGATTCTGTCATTGGAAGAGAATTTCCTCTTACAATTCAAAATGGACGTAAGTTCAACCTTACTTTTAATACATATCTTAGAAATGGGTTTCCAGCTTGTCTCTCCCCCGGTCCCCACACACACACACAAAAAACATATACACACACACCAAAAAACACACGCACGCACAAAAAACATACACGTACACACAAAAACATATTCACATACACACACACACAGACAGAGCTTTTCTGCCTGTTCCTTTTCTGAAGTGCTGTGTCATGGTATAAGCAGGAGTGAGGTATCACAGGAGAGATCATGTTAAACACTGAGAGCTCACTCATTGATGGAGGCCAGAGGCTCGGATACTCCTTCGCTCCATTCACATTGCACTCACCCTCCCTCTGCTCCTTGTAGCCGACTCAACTATAGCATTGGTTGCAGATAGGCCAGGAATGTTTTTGTGGTAGGGTCACATCTAAAGGAAAGGAAAATTAAAACTAAAAGCATTTTTGTCATATTAGCAGATGCTGCAGTTGATCTTCCATTTGCTCTGGTGTCTGAGGCTAAACTCTAGTTGTTCTGCAGTACAATGAGAGGAAATGTTGATTACACTTTCTCAGTGAAACTATAAGAGATTGGATTACTGGAACATCAAATACATCCCCTTACAGGAAAATCCCAGAAGATGTGGGTTTGAACATTGCTAAACCTTTCTACCAGGGATTGGGTCTGTTAGATTACTTTGTATTCCCACAGGATCATATATCGAGGTCCAGGTTAGAGTTAATAATGATCCGGACACCAATGTTTGGAACCTCTAGAGTTCAACGCTGTTTGCTCTTCTGCTGTGCGTACGTTTCTCTTCTATGCATGTTTCTCCTGTGTGCATCATTATCTGAGGATGAGGGCAGGATAGCAGCCTTCTACTGGTCATTTGACAAAGTCAGTTTTGACTTGACTGTAAGGATACCCATGCTGATGATTTTTCTTCCTATCTCAAAAGGCAGGCGGCACCAAGCCTTCACTTTTTACTTTCCCCTGACAACACGATCAAAATCAACAAATAATAATAATAATAATACTTGCATTTGATATGGCGCCTTATCACATTGTTGAGACGTCTCAAAGCCCTTTACAGAATATACTGTAAAGTGAATTGACTGTGTATTTTGTGAGTGAGATATGCCCTGTGGCCAAACTTCAACCCCAATCTTTCAGTTGTCAATTCTCGAAAATGAATATCAATCATAATTTCTGCTTTTCCTTTATTTTCAAATTTGTAATAAAAAAAACCATTAGATTTTCATTATATTTAGAATTGAATAAAATTTCCATTTACCTTGGCGAGATTGATAGAATAAGATCTTAGATAACAGCAATAAAGAGTTAGCACAAGAATGTATGAGCGGTTTATGCAGCTGTTGTTCAGAGAAGTGCTTTTTCATATAATGTAAATCAACAGCAACTTGCATTTATATAACGACCTTCACGTAGGGTAACATTTTGGAGTGCTTCACAGAGACAGGACTGGACACTGAGCAAGGGCAAAGAGAGAGGGGGAGAGGGAGGTGACCATAGGCACATTTAAAGAGGCAGAATTTTAGGTAGGACTTAAAGACAAAAAGAGAAAAAGAATGCAGAATAGCACCAAGCAATGTGCAGGGCTGCAGGGTAAATCTTTAAACTAGAAGTTTTTTTTGTTTTTGGCATTGATACAGAAATAATATCCTCAAAAGCCAATTATTAATGCAAATTTACATTGGAACACTGTGCGCTCACAGACTACTACTGCACGGTTTATTCCTAAACCCCCTTACCCATTGCATTTAGCAATAAAAAGCGTGAGTTCCATAATAATGGGACAAGTTAGAGAAGTTTTATTCTTTATGTTAGAGGGGAAATTGAATGTGAGTGCAACCTCCAGAATAGAAGAACTTTTGATTCTGCTATTCTGGAAGTTGCACATATATTCAACTTCCCCTCTGACCTTTATTTTCCCAGATCTATCCTTTCTTCCCTGTAATGTCAGTACATATTCATCTAATAATTTCCCATTTTGGTCTGCTGTTTTATTCCGCTGCTTATTTTGCTTCAGTCCCATGAAGATACATCTTTTCTATTTGTTTAGTTTATTTGCCACGTTTCACACACAAAATACACAGTCAATCCACTTTACTATATATTGTGTGAAGCACTTTGAGATGTCTCAATGACATGAGAAGGCGCTATATCAAATGCAAGGATTATTATTATTATCGGCTTTGTGTGAAACAAGCAAACTGAAATTTTTTTGCAATAGAAACTGATCTGTTTTAACTTTAAAAAAGATTTTTTATAATATATCAAACTTGTTTCTAACAATTGCCTTTTCTTTAAAGGCAATTGTTAGCAACAAGTTTGATATATTATAAAAAATCTTTTTTAAAGTTAAAACAGATCAGTTTCTATAGCACAATATTTTGATTCATTTTTTCCCTTTAAACCTAGGCCTGCAGTGTGGAGGACAGGCGTCGCGATTTTGAGGAGATTTTCAAACATTATGACGTGGTAAGTTTCATGAATATTTAAACTCTGGGGGAGGGTTGTGTGTGCATGCGTTCTACACGTGTGTTCATTGTTCACTAGGTTATGTGCTACCAGATAACCTGTTGTATTTTCAGTGTTCGTTTCATTCCAAGTAAGCCAATTGTTTCACTTGCATGTTTAAGAGCCATTTCTTTTCCTTCTTCCCTGTTATTACCATCTTTCTTTTCTGAAAGCAGGCGCTTCAATTTTCCTTCAGTTTTGATACGTACGAGTTGCCCTCTGGTACACATGGCCAGTGTTCATGTGTGAGATTTGAGAGTGTGTGTTAGCAAACTGTGTACCACAGGGAGATTGCAGCCAACCCTGCTTAGCGCTTTCAGTTCATTACTCAGTTATGGGCTTCAGATCAGCCTCTGTGGGTTTGACCTGCCGAGTCCATTAGTTTCTATAATATTAGCTTAACGCACTGGGATTTGTCATCCTCGTCACCTGTTCTAATTTGCCTTAGTAAACTTTATAATTGATGGTGTAAGCGTTTTTTCGGTGACTACAATGAAGCATCAGGAACGTCATTTAGGAGTTGTTAAAGGAAGTTTCTCCCAGTGACCCGGCCAACAATGTCCCAGATAAAATTGGTCACTCACATCATGGCTGTCTGTGGGGACATTACTGTGGCAAATAGGCTATCACGTTTACCTACAAAATACAGTCACCACACATTATAGTACATCCTTTGTGACATATTCCTACCCTTAATTATGAAAGGCACCATATTAAATGCAAGAATTATTATTACGTTTATCTAATGATTTTTAAAGAATATATTATTTTTTGTCTTGAGAACATGCCAATTTACGTCTATTTGTGCCAAGTTATTTCTTTGTCTGCCAAGTCTTGCCATTGGCCTTGTATTGTCAGCCTTGTCCCATCTGCCTCTTCCTCACTGGAGTCCTTCATCTCTGCAGTGATTTTCGCAGTTCAGTTTGACACTGTAAAGTGAAGATTGTATAAATAAACATTTAGAGGAATGAGGAATGAATCAGTGTTGAAAATGAAAATGCAGCATTGATTAAACAAGTTGGAATCTTTGGTTCCTACCCCTTGACTCAAAGTCCTTAGTTCTGCTAAAGAATGTCCTCATCTCCAACATTTGCTAGTTAACTATCTAAACTATATAAATTCATTAAATTATTGAGGTTTTAAAAATACGTAGGTTTAAGTTTAAATGTTATACTCAAATGAGTAATTTTGGCTCAGCAATTCTGATAAAGGGAGATCAACAAAGCATGTTTTAACAAAGAAATTAAAAGAATTACCGTAAATATGGACAATCGGCCTAAGCTGGATAAAGCTACAATTTCTTGGGGAAAGGCAAGAGGAAATGGGTGAGGCTCTGATTTAATATTCATAGGAACTCCAAAAGGAGCTGTACCTGAGCATTGGAAGAAAGAAAATGTTGTTCATAAATGGAGGAAGACATCACCATGGAAATTGGTGACCACTCCACATAATGTGTATAGTGGAACAAGTACTTGAGAGCATTATAAGTAATGCTGTGCATGCACATTTAAAGAGCACAGTAGTTGCACAGATTTAAAAGCAAATAGTCAGGTGAGTTGTATGAGAAGGTAAATTTGTGGATGAGTGCTAACTTGTGGATATGCCCAAGCAGTGCGAGGCAGCTATAATTAAGGGTAAATGAGTTCAGAGGTAAGAGGAAGTTGAAGATGGTAATTTTACAGTCAGTATATTAAAATTTGCTCAGGATGTAAAGCTACAGGGTTAGATGGCCAATACAGAAGAAAAATTGGGACCAATTGAGAAGATAGGCCTAACAGTGGCAGAATATAAGATAGAGAGTGTGGGAATCTATAAGACTGTACATGTAGAAAATGGAAGGGTGTCAATCAGCAAAGATAGTGTTTCAGACAATGAAATACTGCTGTATAATTGTTGAGAAAGTACTTTTTTATTGATTGCCTTCTCTATTGCAGAGTAAAACGGGAGCCCTGGAGGGCCCTGAGGTAGATGGATTTGTAAAGGATATGATGGAACTGGTGAAGGTGAGTAATCATACATTAAATTCCCTTTCCAAATTGAAAAGCACTTTTAAAAAATATTTCTCGGATTATACACATCTCCCACATATAGACCAAGCAAAATTCCCAACCTATTGGTTCACACCATCACTTCCAGTCTCCTTAGTTACCGCAATACCACCAGGACTAATGTGATCATAGGTTGGAATGTGCTTTTAAAAACTATAATAATAATTCTTGTATTTGATATTGCGCCTTATCAGATTGCCTTAAAGTGCTTCACAGAATATATTGTAAAGTGGATTGACTGTGTATTTTGTGGACGATTATGGCAGCCAATTGCACACAGCAGTGTCCCACAAACAGTCGTGGACCAAATTCTTTTTTTGGAGGGATTATTAATCCCACAAAGCTATCAGCCAATCGACTAACAACCAGGTTCCTACCTACTACTAGGCAAATAGAGGTATGTGGAGTAAGGAAACTTGCCTAAGGTTTCGCCCTAGCTGGAAATCGAACCCGGGTCCTCTTGCTGCGAGGCGAACGCGCTAACTACTACACTACAAGACTCCTTAAAGAAGAAATGCCAAACGAGACAAAGAAAAACTTTGAACAAGTACTTTTTGATTGTTTACTTTTACCATCTATTAGGAGAGGCCCTCTTATCCAATAATTAAGCAAGTTACACAAAATCTCATGATCCTCCACTTCCCTCCATTTCTGGGCTGTGCAACTCCAGACTAGTCCTTTTTTTAAAGCTCCTGGCCTCAGCAACAGTATCTCACTGTTTGTCCCCTCATATGAAAGGTTTTCAAATGTCTTTCGTGATCTGGTGCCTTCAGTCTGAACTTGGCTGTAAGATTCTGAGCTTCAATTATAGATTTCCCCATATGAGGAATGAGCAGGATTTGGAATTAGACCAGTGGCTGATTTGGAGAAAATCAATGATGCAGACTTGGTGGGCTAAATGGCTTGTTTCTGTGCTGTAACATCCTTTGGTTGGAAAAATGCAGTTAATAATAATAATAATAATAATCCTTGCATTTGATATAGCGCTTTTCATGTCGGGAGGACGTCCCAAAGCACTTCACAGAACACACTGTAAAGTGAATTGACTGTATATTTGTGGGCGAACGTGGCAGCCAATTGCGCACAGCAATGTCCCACAAACAGTCGTAGATTGAAAATGACCAATTTTTATTATTGTTTTTGGTTTTGGAGGGATTATTATTAGGCGTGTGGAGTAAGGAAACTTGCCCAAGGTTTCGCCCTGACCTGCCTGGAATTGAACTCAGGTCTCTCACTTGCAAAGCGAGTGCTCTAAACACTGAGCTACAGGACTCCAGTTGTTTCATAACGGATTCAATAATCATCGAATCTTGACTCTGTTACAGAACAGAATCTATTTTGAAACGTCTCATTTTTCCATCTACCCAGACTGGTTGTCCCTCAACTCCAGCACAATGGTTATTCCCAAAGACGTCTTCATGCTCTTACGAGTCATTATCCTTTGATGTCAGACAAGGGGACAATTTGCCAGCTACCAATTGCCATAGCTGTACATTTTGTATCATTAGCTGAGTAAACTGGGTGGAGAGAAGGAAAATAAACCCAGAAACAAATTCTAAATTAAGTGGCAATCAATGGCTCTCAGTGAACTGACTCCAATGGGAGCCCTCTGATTGTTATAGTGATTATCTCCAGGGTCACTTCTGATTCGTAATATGTGAGTGTTTCTATCAGATTAATAACGTATTGTTTTTTAAATTAGTAAATTAGAAAAATAAAGAAATTGTTGTTTCAAATGAATGTAATTTTAGATTGTTAATTTTAAAATAAAATGAGGGGAAATTAGCTGGTAAGTGAGTGCAAACATGAGGTGCCTCTGAAATGAACTAGTGTAATATTCTTAATAATAATAATCTTTCTCCTCATTGCCTGTCACTGTGTTCAAGTCAGATTATTTGAGCTGAAATAACACCAGTTTCCTGCTGCCAATTGCCAGATACTTTTTGCTGGAGCGGAGATCCGGACAATTTGTGACATCTTGATGTCCATCAGATTGTTTTTTTTTTAAAATTGCTTGTTTTCCTAACTTTTTCAAATCAATTAGAAAATTCAATGTTGGCTGAAGGCAGAGAACCGTAGGCTGATTTCAGGTCTAAACCTGGAGAATGTTGATAGAACTGAAGGTCTCAGTATATACAGTATCATCTGATCTCAGTGCAGTTGGAGATGAGCACTGCGTGTTGCTATGGGAACAGACTGCTAAGGCTCCCAGAACTGTGCACAGAGGCATACAAATAGATTTTTAAATTATTATAATTTAAACATTGAACAAAGTACAGTGTAGCAGTTTTTAACTTTTAGAATTTGTGACAACTATAACATTTTACATCAAGAAGTAATCCTTATATTTCGGGTGAATGAGATTTATTAAAAACGTACCATTACAAAATGACTATTACAAACGGAATATATTAATGACAGCATTACATTCTTTATCAACTGACTGTTTCTTCTTCTCTTGCACAGCCATCTATACGTGGGGTTGATCTTGACAAATTACGTGAAATTCTACTGCGTCACTGTGATGTGAACCAGGATGGGAAAATCCAGAAGTCTGAGCTTGCCTTGTGTCTTGGATTGAAACTAAACCAATGAGCTGACAGTGCAGCGAAACCACCTTGTCTTTCTTCACAAATTAATACAACTTTTACTATTAACCTAGTTACTAATGCATTGATACTAGCAGTGTAACCCAAGGCCTTTGAAGTACCAGAGTGATGTCTGGTAATTGGGTTGGCAAAGAGGCATTTGATTTGCATGTCTAGATTCACTAATGGGTTTGTCAGCCCTGATGTAAAACATAATCTGAAATGCTAAAATTATGAGAACGTTGTTATGCAAGGATCTAGGTCCATTTGTGCAGTTTACAAATCCAGTTGCAAATAAATATTATTCAGCAATGTATGTGCACCTTGACATAAAGGTTACGTACCATTGAATTTTGTTGCTTTGAGCATTATGACTATGAATAAAGAGGCATGGTGCTTTAGGTCAGGTAAATCTTGTTCTTTATGAAATACTAAATAGATTTTTTAGAAAATCTTGCACCATGTCTCTTGAGACACCAGTAATCTTGCTGTTGCAACAAAGAACCCAGGATCTGCATCTAGTTGTAAACAAGTTAAAGAAGCTCTAGGTACTGTAGTTACTGCACACCAATAGCATTCAGACATCACCACAGTACTGGTTTCAAGTGTGCTTTCTTCAAAGGTTTTTAGCATTTCAGAAAATACACTACCAGAATAATTAACTGAATAATTTTATTATTATTGTTATTAAACAAAACAATTTTGCATGTTACGTTTATTGGACTGTTGTATTATATTACTTGAAGATACTGAATGTAACGATTAGAGCTGGTTGTGAAGTGGCTTCGAAAAAAAAATAAAGATGCTGGTAATGTTGGTTAAGTCAAATTAGTTCCCTACTTTGTTGAGTAACACTCAACTATATTACTGTAGGTTACAAGAGAGATTCAGATGAACAATTACCTTTGATCTATTTGATCTAATTATTCCAAAATATCTACACTATCATCAACAACTTAAAGTTATATAGGACCGTTCATACTGTTTAGCATCTCAGAGGGCTTAAAGCTGCATCAATCTTTTTTTTCAAAATGAGTTCATTGTCCTGACCTGAACATCTTTCTTGGTATCGCATTCCAGTTGCTGCTGTTTACCCTCTAGGAAAATAAATATTTCAGGGTTTAGGTCCTGAAATTACCCTGAGCACCCAATGTCCAGTTCTGGGTTTACTTTCTTTTAAATAATAATTATAATAATATAGCAGGCCTTATCACATCATGTAGTGATTGTGTATTTTGTAGGCGATGATACAGCCAATATGCGCACAGCAATGAAATGAGTAACCAATTTTATTTGTTAATCAAGATACAAGAAGAACTTCCTTCTGTTTTCAAACAGTGCCCTAGGACCTTTAATATCCACCTGAACAGGAATAGAAAATCAATATACTTTTAAGGCTCCTTCTGGAAGTCTTCTTTTCAAGATGGAGGAGCTCTAGCCTGTCTAATCGCTGCACATTGCTCATTCCACTAACACTGGGGTGTTCTTTCTTGCTCTCCTCTGTACTGCCTCCAGGGCCTGGGTGGTCCCATTATGTTCCAGTTATCAGAACTGTACATAATACTTACATAGTGGGCTTGATAGGCTTGATCAAAGCACTGTACAGCTTCAGTATGACTTTTGTAGGATCCGAGCTTGACCGATTTGGCAATAGAACCCAGCATCTTTGCTATTGTTGCCTCATGTTGTTTTACATAATAACGGTTGAATCAACTAATACCCTAGATCTCTTTCAGATCTCTTTCAGCGTTCCCCTTTGCAAAGTCTATCAGGTGCCAGGTTGGACCAGTTGGAAGCACTTTTGCCTCTGAGTAAGAATGTTGTGGGTCCCACATCAGGACTCATAAGATAACACTCAAATGCAATGCTGGGATGTACTGCCTTGTTGGAGGTGCTGTCCTTCAGATGATGATATAGCTGGAAAGCTTTAGCTCAGTGGTTAAAGCACTTGTCTCGCAAGCGAGAGACTTGTCTTAGATTCCCGGCAGGATGAAATTTTAGGCAAGTTTCCTTACTCCACACGCCTCTGTTTAGCTAGCAGTAAGTAGAAACTCAATTGTTAGTTGATTGGCAGATCGCTTTATTGGGGTAATAATTCCTTAAAAAAAAATTGGTCACTCAATCCACAACTGACTGGGACACCTCTGTGTGCAATTGGCTGCCACGTTTTGCCCAAGAAATATACAGTCAATTCACTTTACAGTATATTCTGTGAAGCGCTTTGAGATGTTTCAAAGACATGATAAAATGCTATATCAACTGCAAGAATTATTATATTATTATTATATATGCGTATTCAACTGAGCCCCATCTACTGGTTCAGAGGGAAGCTAAATATCCCATGACATTATTCGAAAATAGAAGGGAATCTTGAAGTATATAGATTTTCAGTTCTTATTCTGCTGCCCCAGTTTCCTGGCCAACAAACTCCCACCACCCGCCCAAATAAAATTGGTCATTCAATTGATGGCTGTTTGTGGGACATTGCTGTGTGCAAAATTGGCAGCCACATTCGCCCACAAAACAGATAGTCACTGCACTTTACAGTATATCCCGTGAAACAGTTTGGGACATCTCCTTGATGTGAAAGGCACTTTACCAAAGGTAAGGATTATCATTATTTATTAGGTTTTTTNACAAATAATATCCCATTTTCTTCCTGACGATTGACTCCTTCAGTCATCCAATTATTGAAGTCAGTGTAATGGGTCTGTAGTTGCTAGTTATGGTTCTGCCACCTTTCTTGAATATGGAACCCAAGTTTGCTTGCTTTCCAGTCTGTTGGAACTCACCAGTGGTGACTGTCTCCCTCACAATGACCAAGAGGAGCTGCACAAATTTACTGTAAAACTCAAACCATTTTGTTCAGTTCTTGCCAGTATTTTCTTGCCACTGGCTCTAGCTTTACTTTACTGAGCCAGTGGGTAATTTTTGTTTGATCCCAGCTTGGTTTCAAAACCTACACCCAATCCTTGCCACCTTTCATTTCTGGAACATTGTCCGCTTACAATCTAACTCCTCCACAGCTAAAACACTCCTCTATGGAGTTATTCCTTTAACAGGAACCATTTTAACAAAAGTAACTTTAACATTTTTATTTGATGTGAATATTTTATGGTAATAAATGTAAACACTGGGATCTTTTTGCAGCACTTCATACATTACATAGTATTACCTGCATTAAACAGTTTCTGGGCATCCATTATCAGTCAATTCCATTTACTCATTCACTGTGAACACATAAAAAAAAGTCCCTTTTAACATGATGGCTTTGCTCTGGTGAACAGTTTATCATTACGTCTTACAAAATAAAGGTCACAATAGTACTGTATTTTGCTCTATTACCATTTACTTTTTAATAAACCAATATAAGGCATCCATCTGGTGCATTTGTCAATAAATTGGCTTACCTGCTTATTATCAACATTTCAGGTTGTATACAGAAGCATCACATGTTAATGTCATGACAACAGGTGTAAATACAAACTCACTTTACCCTTACAAGTACAATGTGAGACCTTACAACAAGACAACAACAACAAGATTTCATTTATAGAGCGCCTTTCACATCGGGAGGACGTCCCAAGCGCTGGACAGTTGGGTCGGGACCCGAGCAGGGGGGAAATGGTCAGGGTGAGGGAAGGGAGGGAGCGAGGAGAGGGCAGAGAGTTGAGAGGGGAGCTGAAGGTACGGTCGAAGAGAAAGGTCTTGAGACCGGCCTTGAAGGAGGAAAGGGAGGAAGCAAGGCGAAGGCACTGGGGGATGGAGCACTTCAAACATTACGCAGTAAGTCTAGGGGCTGAGAGGCTGAAGGCCCGGCCACCGATGGTAGGGCGTTTAGGGCGGGGATGTGGAGCAGACTGGAGCCAGAGGAACAGAGGGTATGGTACAGAGGCAGGTACGTAGGGGGATAGTAGGTCGGAGAGGTAGGGGGGAGCAAGGCCGTGAATGGCCTTGTAGGTGAATTCGATCCGCTGGGGATGGGGAGCCAGTGGAGGCGAGCGAGGGTGGGAGTGATGTGGTCGCGAAGCCTGGTGCGGGACAGTACACGAGCTGCAGACTTCTGAATGACCTTAAAAACTTCTGCCAAAGATTACAAAAATTAAAAGAACATACAGCATGGAAACAAGTCGCTCGGCTCAACCAGTCCATGCTGGTGTTTATACACCACGCAAGTCTTCATTTGGCTGGTCTGCCGAGCATGATTTAAAATTCTGTCGCCCACTACCTCTGAGTGTCCACTCCTCTGCCTTTCCCTCTCTTTGCCTGCCTTCAGATCGCACCTGAAGATTTTCCTCTTTGACCGTGTCTACAGCTCAGCCTTAAACTATAGCATTGTTAACTACTCCGAGACGTTACTGGAGAAGATACTAATGTTGATGATTTGGACCAAAATTCTACACCGTTGTATCATCCAATCTCCTCCTGTGGAGAGAGAAAGTTTGAAAATTGTATTTCATCCGTAACTCTTTCAAACATCGACATGTTATTGATTCATCTTTTGTTTGTCAGGACATGACATTTAAAGGGTAATTTTGACTTCTGCTCAAAGTTAAAAATACTGTGCATTCATGTGTTGTAACCGTACTGTGTGCTTAATCCTGTAGAGTCATAAGAACAACAACAACTTGCACTTATATAGCACCCTCCATGCAGGGTGAAGTCTCAGAGCGCTTAAAACCCTACCTGTAGTTTCTGATTACTCATGGGTTCCATTCCCTAGGATCAAACGCTTTACGATGTGCAATTAAGCAATTTCCATCCATTTGCCTGCTTTAAAAAAAGACAAACAAAACCCATGTGTTATCAACGCAGAAGCAAACATAGGTTCTAAAAATCTACAAGCCATTTCGCAAGATGTTTTCTTTACCCTTTGTTTTGACAGCTGGCAATGTACTAGGATCTAAACCAAGAGGCAGTGCAGTACATTGTGTGATGGCTTGATATCCACACTGTTTTCACATCCACAGTGTCCAAATAAAGGGTTGTATTGGACTTGCTACCTTATTTGTCAGGTCACAAGATCATTGTGGCGTTAGATTTATCAGCAATCATTGCGGCATTAGATAAATCAGAGATAATTGTGGGATTAAATAGTTCAAAGGTCATTGTGGGGTTGGATTCATCAGAGATTATTGTGGGGTTAGAGAGGTCAGAGATCATTGTGGGGTTAAATAGATAGAGGTCATGTTTTGGGTTATAGAGGTAGTAGACTATTGTGGGGTTAGATACATCACAGAAAATAATGTCCTATGAGTTCTGAAAATGGGATCTGGCCCAAAAGTTATCGACCTAAAATGTTAACTAATTTTCCTCTCTCCGTAGATGCTACGTGTTCCCAGCGACTTCTGTTTTTATTACAGAAAATGATGTTGCAGACTAGAATTGAGAGGATCACCTATCAGGCAAGTTTTTTTTCCTGTATTCTGTCCAGTTTGAGGGAAGAACAAGTCGAGTGGTATTCAGGTCTGGTCAGACTTGTAGCTCTTTTACATTACGAATATTCTGGGACAGGCAATCACACCTCCACAAGAAGCCCATGATGAGAAGTGATTAAATCTCCTGGCACTGAACTTTCCTTGATCTCCCTCTGACTGCACGGTGAGTAGATGTAGCTACATAATAAAAAGACTCATCACTTCAAGGAAATCATCACTTAGGAGCGTTCCTGGTCTCTCTTCGCAACAGTAACCCAATAACTTGATACAGGCCTCACCTGTCCCTTCAGAAGTGTGGAGTTTGAGGTTTTTGTTTAATAAAATGCCCATAGCAAAAGCAAATAAGTTGCACTTGTATAGTGCCTTTCCACATAGGATGAACTTCTCAAA